TCTCCTGCGTCTCTGCCACATGAATACAGTGACGATAGCGTGGTTAAACTGGCCCTTGTATAGGCGCAGGTATGGCAGTTGGCTGTTTGGAGAAGTCTGGTTCCGTTTGGAAGTGATGAACTGGGGAAATCCTTCTTTGGGGTCTGTTTGAATGCGGAACCCGTTCCCCACTGGAAAGGAAAACAAATAATTTCAGAAAATCTCTCTGAGGTCTGTTTTCTGAATGGAAACCCAGTTCATTACTCTGGGTGTGACAAGTAAAAGCAGAAACAAGTTGGACTTGTTCCTATTTGGTTTTTCCCCCTTTCTGTGGAACTCTTCTGTGAAGCTTTCCTCAAAACTCAAAGCTAAAGTAGAAGTCACCTGGGGCCTGGGGTCCTGCTGTACCTGCTAAGGATGGAAGTGAAACCTTGGGCCACTGGCGGGCTGGCCTGGAGTTGTGCAGGGAGCGGCTCTGGCGGAGGGAGGGTCTCCTGCGGTCCCAGAAGGGATGCAGAGCTGCGTGTCAGGAGCTGGACTATGTGGTCATCGATGTGCGCTGGTAGGAAAGAGCATTCAATGCAGGTCCCGCTGGTAAGGAGGGTGACAGACTGCTAAGGATGTGTCTGAGTCAGCCAGGCAGATAAAAGATAACGAGTAAAAGAGAAAAACAAACGCTTTATCTGTAAGAAGTGCGTGTATGGGGCTGACTTGGCAGCGTGGAGTTGGACCACTTCTCCGTTCTGTTAAAAACAAAGTCTGTGTCACATCCTGGGCTGTGCTGACTGACTTTTTAATGGGTTAAGCACAGACTTGATCTGCCTGCAGAAGGACAGTGCAGAAACCCTTCCTCAGCGCTGCTAACCACATCACTCTGGAGTCACAAGCTGTCTTGAAATCAGGTTAAAAGTTATGAGGCTCCAAGAGCGCAGATGATGGGGTTTAAATTTGGCTTCCAAGCCTCTTGTCCTTCCAGCCAGAAGACACTGGAAGTGTGAGCCCTGAAAACACTAAAATGCAAATTAGAGGAAGATTAAACCAAACCATGTATCCCAAGGCCCCTTAAACTGAGGCTTTAAGCAAAAGCTCTAAAAAGAGGATTTGGCATCACTGTTTAAAGCTAATTCAAAGCTGCCTTCTCCATTTGGTTTAAGTTGATTTATCAAGTTTAAGATAATTAGCTCTAAATAAAGCTTAAATGAGATTATGCGTTTCCTGATACACTGCTGAATGAAAGTACCAGTAAAAGATGGTACAAGACGTGAGCACTACTTCCCAGGTTATCTTTAAACAAATAACTAAGCCTTTGTGCTGTACCAGGCCCTCAAGCTGAATTCCAGTGTCCTGCTGCAACCTAGTCGTCCTAGCTCTGCCCGAGGCACCTGATCCGCGGCTGGTCTCGCCTCCCCAGGCTGCCAGGGTCGGTGAGCGCTGCTGCTCTCTGATTAACCCATCTCTGTTCTCCCTCAGCCTGCCTGCCTCTTTGCTGACTAGCGGAGAGCCGTCTCCCCCTCCTGGGTCTCTGCTCTTCGGAGCACCCTTTCAGCAGCTGGGAAATTAAATTTCTCTTCCTGGCAGCTCTCTGCTATTCCATTAGGCAATTTGTGAGTCTCTCTCTTTCCCCCCCCTGCCTCCTCCTGCATTTTTAATCTAAGCAGGGCTGTTACACAGAGCAAGGAGCTCTGAAAGCAACAGGACCGAGGCAGCATCTCTGGGGAGGCCGAGGAACATAATGGTCAAGTTGTGCTGCTGAGCTGGTTCTGGATGGGAGCACCCAGCACGGGGGAGGGGCCGAGCTAACAGCACTCAGCAAAGTGACTAATGTCACATTTGGCTCCTTCTCTCCCCTCCTTCCCTGGGGGAAGAATCATGTGCAGTGAAGTGTTGTGTTTTGGGTAGGTTCCCCTTGCCCTCCTCCTTGCAGCTCAAATTGGAAACAGCAGCAGCCTGACCGAGCTCCAGCAAGAGTTCAATTACTTGGAGATATCCAGAAGCTGCTTGCTGTCTATCCTGAAATGGTCTCTTGCTGTCTCCCGAAACTCTTCTCTGCTGTTTATTAACGCTTTCTGTGCTTTCCGGCATGAATTGGACGGCTGAGGTCTTTCAGAAAGGACCTACAAACCGGTGGAGCCAGATTTTTTTTTAAAAGGTGGTTTGTGGCTCACCCCTCCCCTTGTCCCAGCTAAAATTAGCTCCGTCTTCAGAAGGGCTTTGCTTCACATCTGAGCATATAAATAAAGGCTGTGTTTCCAGTGCTGCCTGGCACTTGGCAGCTCTCATGGCCTAAAAGGCAAGACTCCAGGAACCCGGAACAGGTGAAGGGTTGCTTTGCCTCAGTGACGAGGCAGCCGTGTCCCTCGGGAGCCTGGGCTGTGACAGGCAAAGTCCTGAGCTGCCGGTTCATCCCAGGGGCTCCAAAACATGTTGCAAACAACCCAGCCAGAGTAGGTGAAACCAGGACACTGAACGCACTTGGTCTTCCAGCTCCCCCTGATGAGCAGCCCTGGTCTGTGTGGTGTCCAGGAGGATGCACGCTGTCTCGGAGGGGTTTCACTGGCTGGACTGTGATGCATTTACTGGTGGCGGGGGGTTATCTGGCTGTCCCCCATCCCCAGAGCACTGGCACTCTGCTCGTGGTATGGTTGCAGAACAGGAATTACTGCAGGAGTGTGTAATGGAGCAGCAAATTGGCTGACACCATCCCACAGGACCCAGGAATACCAGAGGGATGTGGCAAAGGAAGTGGTTTGTGCGATGGGAACGTGCAAACAGCTCGCAACATAGCTGAGCCAGGAAAGCTTCGTAGCCGACAGCCCAGGGGTTCGCTGGGCAAGTTCACAGGTCTCTGTGGGCTTCGCAAGTGCTGCCTGGCTCCCCCCTTTCCTGCTGGGAGAAGAGTAGGGGGTGAAGGAGGAGCGCAAGTGAGAGTGGTCACAATGCAGACACACAATCTAACTGCATGGGGAAACTGCACTGAATGTGTTGCTTATTCAGGTGAATTGTGAGAGTTGGAGAGAAACAGCCTATCAGTATCTGGTGCTAATGGGAGACTTACTGTGGTGGCAGCTGGAGAACTGGTCTCTGCAGGTGAAAAGCAGGTTTCCTCTGGCAGCCCAGGAGCGCTGGGTCTCATGGACAAGGCTGGTCACAGACCTGGGGCAGCGGTCCCCACAGTGGGCTGGCTGCTTTTCCCTGCTGAAACATCTCAGCTGGGCTCATGCCGGGCAGTTGACTGCCTGCAGCAGAGGGAGAGGGAGGCCTGGAAGAGAAGGATCTGTGTGATAAAAGCAGGGCTTTCTCCTCTGCAGCTGAACCGGCTCCTCTGGTGTTTCAGTGCAAACCTGCCCTTGGGGAATGGGCCGGGACGGGTTCTTCCACCCTGTCTCCCTGCTGTGCTGCTGGTTCTGGCTCTGGGGGGAGGCTCCACGGGGAACCCAGGGGCTCGGCGCTGTGGGGCGAGGAGGCCGTTCCTGGCTAACCAGGTATCCAGACTTATACCAGGGGGAGGAGAAACAGGACCAGCAGTCTGGGGCTGCCAGCTCAGCCCTGCATGGCTCCAAGTTGATCGAACAGACCTCATGCTTGGTGAGGCTCTTCAGGAGCTGTGTCCAGCCTTCCGGGAGACCTTGTTACTCTGCCTGGGAGTAGAGTGCATTGCATCAGAGGTGGCTGCCCCCTTCCCCTCCTCGGGTGGTTACAGCCCTTCCAGGGTGCTCAGCACCACTGCTGGGGCTCCCTTGAGGGCTGCAGCCCTGCTGCCCCTGAGGGAGAGGATGGGTTGGATGTCTCCCAGGAGCTCCCCAAGAGAGGGAGGCTCGGAGCTTGGAGCCCTGCTCACCTCTATCTGTAGCGTGGGGATTTCCAAGTGCTGTCCTGCAAGGCTGGAGGAGCCTGGCATGCCTCTGTGGACAGAGGTGACCTGCAGGTGAGCTGTGGGTTGCCACAGGCTCTGGCTGTGGTCACTGAGCAGTCTCCAGCACGCCCCAGCGAGAGCTTGAAGGGCCCTTTTGCCTCGGGAACATGTGGGAGTTTAGTGCTGGTGCACTGCAGCCTTGAGTGGAGAGAGGAGTCAAATGCTCTTTATTTGGTGGTGACTGAGGCAAAAAGGATCTGAGAAGACAGCTGTGTGTGGATGTGGGGGCTGGAGGGATGCTGCCGAATGGGACTGAGGTGTGAGGATGCCTGGCCTGGGGTTGCAGGGTGCATTTGGGACTAGTGCAGACCCTCGTGATTGGGTGTTGGATCTTACTTGTTTCACTAATCCTTTTTTCCTTTTTCCCCCTCTCCTCTTTCTTCTGTACAGATGTTTCCCTCTGGGCTCTGGCTCTAGGATGTTGGAGAACCGAGAAGAAGTAAGACCCTTTCCATCTCTGGATTTGTCTCTCCGTGGCTGGGGTTTGGCATTGCTGGAGTGAATGATCTTGGACTGAGCGCTCTGTGGAGGGATGACGAGAGGTGCCAAAGGCCGGGTAGCATCCCAGGCAGACAGAGCTGAGGGGTAGCTGGTGATGAGGATGGGAAATGCCGGAGGTGTCTGGGGTGTCTGTGCAGTGATCGCACTGCCCCTTGGGCAGGATGGGCTGGGTGGGTTACCTGTACCTGGGAACTGCCTGGCAGGATGAGCCAGAGGGTGATTGGGGGTACCTGACCCCAAGAACGCCTCCGAGTCCTGCATGAAGGCAGTGCCCCTCATCCACTCCCACTGCCCTGCGTGTGCAAGCAGGGGGTGATGCTGGTGCAGGCCGTGAGCATTGCCTCCTTGAGCTCAGGCTGTGTTTGTGCTGCCAGGAGCTGACCACGGTGCGTGTGCAGGACCCCCGGGTGCAGAACGAAGGCTCCTGGAACTCCTATGTGGATTATAAAATCTTCCTCCATGTGAGTTGAGGCTAGCGAAGCAGGGTGAACTGCAGAGCTCACTTGTGCCATACACGAGTCTCGTGAGTGGCATTGTCTGGCCGTGTCTGTCTGTCTGAGGGAAATGGAAGGAGCCACAGCCCTGATTCCATGGTCTTTCTGCAGACCAACAGCAAGGCCTTTACTGCCAAGACCTCATGTGTGCGGCGTCGGTACCGTGAATTCGTGTGGCTGAGGAGTCAGCTCCAGAAGAATGCAGGCTTAGTGTAAGCATATCTTGTGCCCACCTCCTTTCTTCCACCTGCAGCCATACTCTGCGTTTCCAGTTGCCCAGAGATCCCATAGGCTCCCTCAACCGATGTGGATGGAAAGAGGCAGAACATGGGCTATCTGGGCTCCTGGGATCTAGCTCTGCCCAAAGCAGGGTCCTGGCTGCTGCTGCCATGGCGCCACCCCATATCTCCTCACTGTGATGTTGGGGTGACCCGACCCTGAACCACTGTTTCTGCTCTGTTCCTGCAGGCCTGTCCCAGAGCTGCCTGGGAAATCCACCTTCTTTGTGGGCAGCACAGATGAGTTCATTGAGAAGCGAAGACAGGGGCTGCAGCAGTTCCTGGAGAAGTGAGTAAAGCACTTGAACATGGCTTTGCTGGATGCAGGGAGAGGACTCCCTGCTCCAGTCTTGCTTTGCAGATGCTGGCTGTGAGCTGGAGGTGGAGCAGTTGATGGTCACCCTGGCTGTCTGGGGCCCATGAGCTGTTGGATGTGCAGGCCATCCCAGGCCCTGCGTGTGCCCTGCACAGCTGGGGACCTGCATCACTCATCTTGTTTTCTCTGTGCACAGGGTTGTGCAGAACGTGGTCCTCCTCTCCGACAGTCGGCTGCACCTCTTCCTGCAGAGCCAGCTCTCGGTGCCTGAGATAGAGGCGTGTGTGCAAGGCCAGGGCTCGCTGACAGTGACAGAAGCCATCCTGCACTATGCCATGTCCAACTGTGGCTGGGTGCAGGAGGAAGAGAGTCGTCCTGTCCTGCTACCAGGAGGAGACCTGCATGGCAGGTAATGCAGGTGGGGAAGGACCAGCCTGGAGGTACCACCAGCCAGGCAGACCTGAGCTCCTTTGTGCTTTGAGCCGCTTTGCGCTGGCTTGAGCAGGACTTGCTAATGGCAGAGCTCTGAGCCAGCCAGTGACTTGCTGTCTGCACCTCCCCTTGTCAGTGCTTGCAGCTGTGAGGCTGGTTACAGCTTGATCTGAAATGGCTGGTGTCTGTGCAAGGGAGTTTCAGCAGCAGGAAGCAGCCCCTGCTGTAAAATAAGGAGCTGCTGGGCTTTCCAGGGACCCTTGAACCTTTCTGAGCTGCTTGTCCCATCCTTGTTAGTCATTTAAAGGAATTAAGTGGCGCATGTGTCCCCCAGTCCTGCAGACTGAATGGACAGGATTCCTGGGGGTTAGGCGAAGGGAGCTGGACATCTCAAGCTGTCACCAGCACTCTCCTGTACTGTTCTCCAGGCTTCCTGGGGGTGTCTGACCTGTCCTGGCCTTGGCCAAGGCTTAGCAGAGAAGAGCTCAAGTCTCTTGGAAGAACTTAAGCTGAGATCTAGAGGAGTCTTTAGACGCTTTCCTCCCTTAATCTCTAGGGAGTGAAGGAGTCTTTGGAGGCTTTCAGAGCTCAGGCTTTCTGTGCATCTTGTCCTGGTCCTTGTAGCGTGAGTGGGCTGTGCAATTCCTCCTGCCCAGCAGAGCTTCAGAGTGCTTGCTGCATGCTGAGGAATTAACCAGGCATCTCTCCATGGGAGCTGTGGGGCGGCTGCTCTCATGCAGCCAGTCAAGGGTGTTTTGCACTTGGGGAAGTGACTGACCTGATGAGGGAGGAGGGCATCCTGAATGTGCCACCATGGCAGCTCCCTGCAAGTAGTTGAACAAGCACGGACATCACCCGCATGCCCTGGCTACTGCGTGAGTCCTGCAGCAGGTGCTGGGTCCCTGGCTGTGCTTGCTGGCAGCCCGGTGTGCCTGGCAGAGATGCTCTGGGTCCCCTGCTCCTCCAACGAGATGTTTGCCTGCTTACCAGCAGGCTGTGTCTGGCCTCCTGCACCACCCAGCGCCTGTGTTTCTTCATCTTGGTTTTCAAATAGCAGGAAGAAAGAGGTGTCTGGACTCCAGCAAGAGACCTGTTTATTTTAAATAGAGCTCTTCTGGTTTAAGAAAGGGATTTGAGGGAAGACAACAGCCCAAGCTAATGGGTAGGTACGCAGGCAGCGTACGTGGCTTCATACATCCCGGGCTGCTGCCAGCACCATCTGCCTCTCCCTGGTGGCAGTCTCCCCCTCTCCTGCTCTAGGCCCATGTGCACGGGTGAGCGGCTGCTGCTGTGGCTGAGCTGGCTGGGAGCAGAGGGCTGTTGTGGGGCTGGGCAGAGGGAAAGTGGCCTTCGCAGTGCAGAAGGGATTGTGCCAAAGTGACTGCAAATGACTTGGAGACACGGGTACCCCAGCCTCCTTTGGGGAGCCAGGGCCCTGCATCTTCCTTGGATCCTTTCTCTGTTCTGATCCATTTTCTCTTTCTAGCTGTGCTGGCCTGGGAAGCCCACAGGGTCCAAGCTGCCTAGAGACCCTCCCTCACTGGAGTGACTTTGGCATGGAAGACACCCACTCAGACAGTCTGGATGCGATGGCCGAGCGCAAGACGCAGTGAACGTCTCTAGTGACCTTGCCTGCCCTTCCTGGGACCTGTAGCACTTGCTGGGTGAAGAGGACCACCACTGAGCTGGAGGGATGTCCAGGGCAACAGTACTGGAGCTCTACTGGGAACACGGCCTTGCCCTTGGCTCTGCAGTGTCTGGGGCTCAGGCGCTTTCTCCCTGCTGACTCTGGACTGTCCTTGATGTTCCAGGCAGTGCGTTCATATAGCTCTTTTCAGAGAGGAGATCTAGTGGTTAGTGAAACCTGTGTTTGTTGTTCCCATGGCCTTTGCTCCCTGACTGGAGCAGTAGGAGGGCTTAGATGACTGGTCTGCAGTGCCAGCAGGGCCCCGTGCTCTTGGCATGTCCCTGGCCAACGTGAGGTGGGTACAGCTCAATGGCTCACATCCAGCACGAGAGGGGAATGCTTCGGCCCTGGTGCGGAGCCTCAGGCTGCGAGCAGGGGTTGGCTGCTGCCCAGCTCTGTCCTTGTGGGTTTCTTGAGTTCAGTTCCCTAGTGCTCCCCTCTGAAACTCAGGCAGCAGAGGCTGTATTTCCCTGGTTATAGCCATGCTGCGCTCCTGGGGTGGTGGTGTCTCAGCTGTGCTGAGCTGCAGCCCTCATGCTGGGTGCAGATACTGTATCTGCACCTGGGGCCTCCTGGCACTGCTTGCCCTGCAGGTTGCACGCAGCTGGGATGGATGGGGACATGTTCCCCTTGGGGCCTGTTGCCTGGAATCTCCTGTGCCCTAGGAGCATGGGGCTTGGGAATGAGGCAGCGAAGAAGATGGGAAGCAGTTTCTCTCCCCTGCCCCTTTGGGGGAAACCACTTCCAGACAGGCTTCTGCAGGAGAGCACGTCCTTCCTCATGCACTGGTTGTGAGGCACAGCTGGGAAGCTGAGGGTGACAGCAAGGGAATGGGGGTGGGGGGACACAGCCAGCATGTAGTTTATTTGCTAGGAGAGAAGGTGCATGTAGCTTCCCTGGAGTCAATGTCTGGCAGTGCTTGGGCTCCAGTTGCTCTTGACACTGTTCCCTGGGCTCTCCTGCACCTTTTCCTGCTACCCTGAGCACTGGTGAAGGCAGAGCTGACGTGCTCTGACTTGAAATAAAAATGAAGTAGAAGAGACTTACGGATGCTGGCAGTGTGTGTCCTCGCTGCGTGGGTGGAGGGAGCTGAGCAGAGCTGAGGCCAAGCTAATTGCTTTAGGGAACAGAGCGGGTTATTGCACCTCTCCCACCATGGCTGATGCTGTTGAAATCAGCAGGGCTGACCCTGCAGCTCGGAGGAGAGGCCCTGGGGAGGGCCTAGGGGCAAGGATGGGACAGATACCTTGTCCCTGTGAGGCTGGGCTAGAGGCCTCCCTGCTGCTGGAGCTGCCATCCACAGATATGAGGTTTGGGTCTGGGCTCCGTTTACGGAGCTGGTGTCTGATGTCTCCCTTCTGCCATGGCCAACAGCGCCAGGGCCCGGAGCGAGGAGAGAGCTTGCACAGTGCGGGGGGGGTGGGGGGGTTCAGCCCTGTGTGGGGGGCAAAGGGGGTGCAGGCCCTGAGCGGGGAAGGGGAGGGAGGGTTTGAAACCCACTGAGGCCCTGATCGGGGAAGGGGAGGGAGGTTTTGAAACCCACCGAGGCGCATCTGAAATGTCAGGAGAAGTTCACAGCAAGGCCTGGCAGATGCTGGCACGCAGGAGCACTCCAGCCATTGGCTGCCCCCCTCCTTGTGCATATTCA